CCCCCCCCCCCCCCCCTCATTTTTTCGACCATCTGAATACTTCTTTCTTTCTATTGACGTCATACTTCTTTTTTTTCATATGGTTCAGTTAGCTTGTATGCTTAATTGTGTTTTCTCTTGTGGCTACGTTCTTTTCATACTATATTAAGAGTGGACACTTTTGTATTTGCAATGTAACAGATGGTTCAGATTGAACCTTGACCTGAGAATTTGATTTTCATGGAATCCTGGTGAATTTTGCCATTATCTAATATCATTGGAGGTCTCTTTATATTTTACATATAGACAATTTCATATTAAATTGTAAATCAAAAATTCATTTTTGGAACGTTATGGCCTGACATTTTTGACTTAATCTTTCACCTGTGGGACCCGTTGACCAATTGTAACGGATAGAATTTCGTTGTTAATTGAAAAAGTAGCTGCACCAGATGGGTGCTAAGTATTATTTTCATATCATGTATAAAGTGTATTGCTTTTGTACTTATTGCTGTGATTGTTATGATTGACCCACATACTTAATGCTACCAATTGACTTCTAATTAATGTTCACATCGTGCTTTCGTTGTACCATGCTGACGTCATCCTCCACAAAACAATTTTTTGCGTTTTTTTGCCTTTCTTTTCCTTCATTTTTCCATAATCTAGATGCCGCTCTCTCTCTCTCTCTCTCTCTCGCGACCTCAGATTTTCTTTTCAGACGGCAAGGTATGTCGATTTCAGATTTGCTTAAGTTTTGGGTCTTTTCTTCTGAAATAATTGTATTACCTGTCGATTTCTCACTATTTTGCCTTCAATTCTTGGATATTTTCAACTTAATATGTTTTCCTTCTTTCTGTGTGTACAATTCTATTTTTTTTGTTGGTGGAATCTCCCCAAAACCAGAACACTCGCGTCGAAATTCAAAACTCGTGACCTGAGGTATGTGTACGTGGATTTAGAATTTGATTCAGTTCAGTCTAACTTTTTCAACTTAATTTTTCTTTCTATGTTTCTGTGTGTAGAATTACATTTTCATCTATGCGAATCAACGGTTTTTTTTTTCTAGAAGTTTTCCGAAGAACCACAAAAATCTGACGGAATAAGACGCTAACGACATGAGGTATTGTGATTTAATATTTTTTTTGCTTTAGGTTTGTTTTTTTTAGAGAATAATTCTTTTTCTATCTGTTCTTGATGATTTTACTTTCAGTTGTGTAATTTCAGTCGTATTTTTGTTTTCTTGTTTGTATATGTATGTATACAATTATATTTTAAGGTTGGTCAAATCGATGGATGTAGTAGCACTTTTCTATTTTGTTCAGTAAGGTTTTCCAAAAAACATGGTTCTTTCACTTAATTTTTCATGGGTAGTTCTTGTACTAATTATGCATTTTCCTTAGTTTTTCCTTTCTTTTTCAAATGTATTTTGCATGAACTTTAATTTTTTCTTACTTTTTCAGTGTGTACAATTCTATTTTCAAGTTAATGGAATTTATGCATGTAGATATTATTTTTTTACTGATGAAATAATCACTGCAGTAAAGTGAAGCGATTGTCGAGATTTATAAGTTTTGCTGCTATAGTATTTGGATGAAATGAATTCTGTTCCAGGATTTATGCTTTACGTTCTCGGTTGTTAATATGAAATATGTATCTTATCGATTTGTGAATTTGTGCTGAGATTTATCTTCCCCAATAGGTTGAGGAAACCACTTCAGTTGGAACACACTTCTCTTTCTTTTTTTCCTTTTTCCCTTTAATGATGAATTTGGATATTTATGCTTACTGTCTGACATATTTCTTCCTCTTCCTCTACCTGTCTGAATTTTCTTCTATGCTTATTCATTGGTTAAGAAATGTCTTATTGTAAATGAAAGTTCAATGTTGTCATATCTCTGATAACAAATGGTAATGGTAGCACCTGTTGATTTGTACAGCAATTGAGAGCTGCCATCGCCAAAACCTACTGTGAGAACCTCGGGATAGAAGAAGATGATATATTTGTATCAGATGGTGCAAAAAGTGACATATCTCGCCTTCAGGTATGAATTCTTTTGCTTGTCTCATATATTTGTACTGTGCGAATTCATTGCTTGAAATTTGATAGCTTCACAAACATTTTACAGTGGGAATTTGTGAAAAAAAGATGTTTTAGAACCATTGTTTTTGCAATCCAATTATGAAACTGAAGATCTAATTTTTCTCTGCTAGATTTGTAACTGAAATTTGATTTATATACATGTTAAGATTTATCATGTCCTTGGCAAATAAGTAGTGGGTTCCTCGGCTTATCAGTCTTTGTTTCAAGGTTTCTCGAACTGTTTTGTAGTCTCTTACCTTTCGTTAAACACCAAATTCATCCTTGAATTACTCATGCAGGTATTTTTAAAATCATATTGTGCTAGAAATTTTATAGAATTGGTATGCTTTTGATGATTGTTGATGCCTTGGAAGAAATCTTTTGGAGAGATTTCATCATGCCATCTGGAATGATGAACCCACCCACATGGTAACAGTGGAATTGGATGAGCAAGAGCATTGAGCAGCAGGTAATTGAATTTTTTCATCCTTCTTTAAATGTATTGTTGTTTGCCTTTGTGGTTGCAACTTGCAACCGAGGTTCGACTTTGTTATTGCACTTTTCTCAGCTGATTAGCAACAGATTTGTTCGTTTCTTGTGTGAATTTATGTAAGTTTTATTTTTTCGAAGTATATTACTTAAAACGGTGACTTTACCTTCCTTGACACTGGTGATATAGAAACTTGGGCAATCTCTTTTTTTTTTTTCAACATCAGGCTCACGTACATTCATTTATACTAAAGTATACCTTAAACTTCACATGTTGTGTATACATTTTCGAATTAATATTAACCCGATGAAACCAGTTGTCTAAATCAATTTCCTTCACTCTATAAAGTGGTTATCCAATGAGGTTTAAAAGTTTATATCAAGGAAAATATTCTCAAATCAATTTTGTGGAACATATAGAAATATAGCTCCATTTGTCTTGTCTACTCCAGTAAGAAAGTAGCTAGAAATTATAAAATAGTAAAAAGAAAAAGAAATTATATTTTTTTGATCAAAGTGTTATGATTGCTTAGCAGTTGCGTCTACTTTATATTATTGAATCTATAACTTATGAAAAGATTCAAGTCATTACATGAATATATTTATGGTTTGATGTTGGATTCGTCAAAGATATTTTCGAGAAGTATTAATCTTTAGTTGATTTAGTTACTCTTGTTTAAAGATCGTAAGGCCTTTGAGAGAATCAAGGGTAAGGTTATACATTTAGGTGCCTACCAAATTCTCTTGGATAACTATTTCTCCTATGGTGGTTAGATTGTCCATATGAATATGCAATTACTATCATAATATTTTATGGGTTTCATGTTTTACTCTTGAAAAGGAAAATATTTTTGTATTTTTCTGAGGAATTGATGATTTTTTTTTTCAAACATCTAGGAACCAAAACAAAAAAACCTAGAGTGAAAATTCATGTTCACAAATAAATTGGAAGGAAAAAGGAAGATTCTAAAATTTACCAGATCTTCTATTCAAAATGTTGGCTGATGTTGGTTTCCACATCTTTGGTTTCAGGCAATTATGATATTTTCCCTGGGGGGTTCTTATACCCAAATCCAAAGGAATCGAGTCTCATTTTGTCCCTTGGTTATCTAACATTCATTATTGGTATTTTTTCAGCCTACAAATGTTGTACTGTCCACTTTCTTATTTCTAGACCAAATTTTGTGGCTTGACATAACAAGAACATATAACGTATGGCTGAGAATTCTCTGTCCAGGTCTGACAGTTAGGAAATTGAATTTTTCTATGAGTCACTAATGAATGAATAAGACTACATAAAACGATGTATCTGATAAAATTTCGAATAGTAACATAGGGATCTCTATCTCTAGACATTAGAAGATTGGCAACAGGATATAGAGTGGGAGTCTTTTCATTTCTCAGTATTTAGCAACTTTTACACCTTTAATTTAATTTTTATTTTTTTGGTGTTTGATTCTTCCGGTTTCTTCAGCTTCGTTGTTCAATATTATATTTCTTTTCATATTCTGTTCGAGGTTACACCTTTAATTTTTTGTTAGTGTGTATAGTTCTTCCAGTTTCTTCAGTTCTACTATTTTTTGTTAGACTAGACAATCTAATTTTGAAATTTTGTCTTATGTGCGTTACTTCCTCCTTGTACTAAGAGAGAGGCGAAACTTCTCCTCTGTAGCGACGCCCAAGTAATTTTTTTAAAACTTGTTCTTATATTATATTCGGGTTAACATTAACGTATTACCAATATACTGGGATGAGAGATTTGAAATTCATACATAGTTATTGGTCATTTCAATGCATGAACTGCAAAAACTGCAGACAAATAGTTGGAGAAATCAGAAATGAGAGGGACCTTCTTCACAAGTAAAACGATGCCGAATGCTACAGTTTGAGTCTGAAGTTTTGGATGCACCTCTTTACAACGATGAGGCATTTTTAAGATCAAAGGTTGGTATTCTTTTCTTTTGGAAATTTCAGGTCTAACATTATGAATTTGCCAAAGTAAAAGAGTTTGTTCAGTAGCACTAGACTCTACCTTTTGTTTTGGGGGAAAAACCCAGCTTTGACACAGGCGGTGTCTCCGTGCCTGCCAGATGGAGACACTGTGTGTCTCCGTGCTGCTAGATGGAGACACTGTGTGTCTCCATGTCGCACGGAGACATGCATGGTGTCTCCATGAGGCACGAAGACACGGTCTGTCTCCGTGCCTCACGGAGACATGGCCCGTGTCTCCGTGCCCGAAGGAGACAGGGAACTTTTTTGATTTTACATTTTGAACCCAGTTTCCATACAATCAATTCAATTCCAACAACTTCTTGAAAATTCATGATTAATTTCATTATTCTTTCATATCGATTCACAATACTAAATCTGATGTCTTATTGTTTTTTACTTCTGGCGTCTCCATTGCTACTATTTCTCTGTATTTATACTTGTTATCTAAACATATACAGATAAGTATACACATTCTTCATCATCATCGTCCTCATCATCCCCCATTTCAAGAAAGTTGTGGAATTTCTGGTTTTGAATGCATGGAAACAAACACAGTGACTCCATCTAGCATGGAGACGCAGGTATAATAAGGTAACTTGAAGCTCACAATAACTGAATTTGAAGGCTTGCTCCCACGAATCAACAGCAGATTCACCATTTTTCACCAATTATTGAACTGAAAAATAATGAGTTTTCCTGTAATCTAAAACATTCATTTATGAGTCAAATTTTATTCATTAACAAATGAAAACAAATTTGGAATTCCCAATATTGGAGCATAAAATCGTGAAATCTGTATTTTTATTGGTAGCAGAAGTATAAACAAAATCTTAACTGTAAAAACATAAAATAAACAAGACAATTAGGAATCATCTCGACCCAATTAGTACACAAAAGGTAATCTTATTTGTGTTGGCTGTGGTAGTAGTGACAAGATTTCTTGCTTGTAACCTTATCTTATAGCCATCCTTCAATATGTTAGTTAAAGGCTGCTTAATTCTAGATCTGTTGGTTTTTTCTATATTGAATTTCTGATGTGTATAAATGCTTGAAAATTTACATTACTTTTCAAGCTTGTGCACAAACCTCCACTCATGAGGAAAAAAGATCAAGTTTTGTACTACATTTAAGCATTTTCTGATCATTGATTATTGTCCTAAAGCTTCTTGATCTTGTGGAGTTCAAATTGAAGGAGGTAATCTCAAGAGAGCCAACCCTCCTTGTCATGGTGGTTGGTGTTCCCAATGTTGGCAAGTCTGCGTTAATCAATTCCATTCATCAAATAACTTCAGCTCGCTTTCCAGGTATTATTCTCATTACAATTACGATTTCTTTAGGCCTTTCTTAAGAATGCTGTCTGCATTCAATTAGTAAGCTTGGTTTCTCAAACAATGATTTTTTCTTGCATCATAGTGCAGAACAAGAAGAAGCGGCCCACAGTGGAACCATTACCTGGTTGTGGTCGACATCTTAATAATGGTTTTGCTACATTTGTATTTAGCTGATTCCCGACTTCTTTTTAGCTAATCGTTGTTGTTTTCTTGTTAGGATGTTACCGTGATGCCACTTAATTTGATCAGACATCGCTGACAAAAATCAGTTTTATTGTGAGTGAACTTTTATTTGTTCTATCCTTGGGAGGTCGATTTAGTAGGCAAGTAATGAATCTCTCTTAAAATTTCCGTGTTTTCTCGGATTCTCTTAATTTGATTTCCGTTCTACTTCGTGAGTCTATGCCTTTTGTAATTATTATGAATTTATTTTTTCATGAACTATTTGAGGTGCTATGAGTATCTGAGTTATTTATTTAAGTTGCCTATTATAAATTCTGTACTTAATTTTCCTAATCTGTGGCTATTGACGAAGCTTTAGTAATTGAAACTTTCACCATTTAACTCATTTTTGACACTTTTTCCCTGCTTTGAAAAGGATTGTCATTTAATTCCTTTGGATATTTTCCTTACAGGAGTATTTCATTCAGTTTGGGTTCATTTTCTCCCATGAATTAGGGTAGATGGAAATGCTCATTTCAGTTTCAAGTATTCTTTCAGGAGATTGTGGACTGTCCAACATTTTGTATATATAAAGCAACATATACTTTTCAATTGCTATACAATTGATTGTATACATTTTTCAGTTGCGCACATTTCCCACATTCCTCCTAGAATGATAATGTTGTATTGATTATTAGTGAATTAATCTTGAAATTCATTTATTCTGCAGTTTCAAATCGATCAATCACAAGGTATAGTGCCTTCCGATTGCAGCGATAAGTATAGAGATCAAAAGTTTTCAACCTTTCCTAAATTGCATGTACATATACCTTTGGTTTAAAAAAAAAGAAATTATTGCACTGCCTCTTGCAGATGCTGTAGGCTTGCTCAAAATCATGAAACTGCCAAAAAAGCCGTTTGAGAAAAAAGTACGTCTTTCGTTATTTGCTTTATTTACCACCATTATATTCCTTAATACTTGAGTTCTGTCAATTTTATTTTTTGAATATGGTTCTTGTCTGTTTATTCCACATGACCCTATTAAAGTTGCACACAATATAGCTTCTTTTACTACTACACTGATTTCAATGTATTCCTTCTTTCAATGTGAGCCACGTATAAGTTAGTAGAAAATTTTCTACTATTATACGAAAAATATACAGAAATGGAATGGATCACTGTTATAGCAATGGTAACCGTTACATTAATAGAGCATCATCAGGAAAAAAATAAAAATAAAAAGAAAGGTGAGAGTAATAATGGATGGCTTCTCATACGATGAAGATAGATGTGGTCCTGTGGAGGAAGACGATCAACCACAAATCCTGTGCATTTAATAATTTGTTTAGGCAGGTTAACATCGTTAATAACGTGAACTCTAGGCTAGAACACAGAACGTACTCCATCTGACGAATCTGAAACTCAAGGCTGGAACAGTGAGGCTGGAGCTTCAGGTTGGAACAAGGGTCCTACTCGAGCTCCAGATGAAGCTGGAACTCCTGGCTGGCAGTAGGGTGAAAGAAAAGGCAGGTCATTTTAACATATTGGTTGTAAATTCTAATTAGATTTGTGGATGTTCAGTGAATCACTTAGGCAGACCTTAATGACATGTTATGTTTTCGACTTCAAAAGTTGCACCAGATGGATGGATAGATTGGTGGGTAGGTGACTTCAAATTATTTTTGGTTGAATTTCTATTATCGATATTTTAATTATTGCTTAGTGTTTCTTTTTGGACTTCTTTTCCATGCTTTGTTGGTGTTGAAAATTTAAGCATAAGTTTGGCTAATTAATCCATTCATATTTTTCGCAGGACAAACTATGTTATTTCTTCACAGTCAAACCCAACTTCATCATCTGTTTTTACTGTTATTACCTGTAAAAAGTTTTATTTTAAATAGAAATACTAAGATAAATTAGATATTGACATTGTTTTTAGTCTGATATATGAGTTTCTATTTTAAAAATTATTTCAAAATTGTCTAATATTAAATTATCTTTACAAAGATGTTATGGAGGGGGGTGGCGGTAATTTACGGAGACAGACAATTTGTGAAGCAAAGGATTTAACAGCAGAGAATTTGTCGGCCAAAATATTACTTCAAGATTCAAAACCAAAAATTGACTGTCAGTTTAATAGCTGGAAATTTTTCATTATCAGTAGAAGATAAACTTTAACCACTCCTATTTTTCCACCTGTATGCATTTTCCAATTTCCCATGAAAAAATAGCTACTCATCCTTTTTTTCAGGAAAAAGTACCGATTCATTACTTATCTTATCTTATCATAAAAATCTCTGCATAATATCTATAGACATCACACTACTATATATATATATACTTACTTCACAGACATCTCTGCATTCCTCCTCTCTGCATCTCGTTTATAAACAAGGTATGCTTATCTTTTCAACAATTGCCTATTTCTTCATTTTTTTATATCAGTAATAATACTATCTTTTTCATGAAGATTAAACACTGACTGTACTGAAGAAGATGGCAACAAATTACAAATTTATTCCAGAAATCACTCCAACCGAAAGGAATTGGCAAGTGAAGATAATTGTTGCCGAGAAAATGTCTCCCAAACAAGCAAGAAATAGTAATAACAAATATCAAAACATGGTGCTCATGGATTTTCAGGTAAATAACTTCACAACATTCCCATAAAATATTTGAATATCAACTGATATATTACTACAATTTTATATTTCTTATAATATGTAGGGAAATAAGGTACATACAACATTATATGATGGAAATATCACTGCCTTTGAAAATGAGCTCCTATTGAGCAAGACATACATCATTTCAAATGCTATTGTGAAAGATACAAAACCTGAGTATAAAGTTTTAAACGGTGACTTTCAATGGACAATCACTGGAAAGACTCGAATCAAAGAAGTGAATGAGAATAATATGGAGTTTCTCTTTTCTACGTACATCTTCACTGCTTTTGATCAACTTGGAAAATACATGGATTCCAACAATGACATAAGTAATTCTTCTAATCCCCAGTTTTCTCTCCATTTATAGCTTAGATTTCTTTATCAATTTATTCATACATTCTTTGTTTTATTATGTATTAACTTTTTCCTATTATAGTTAATCATAGCTTTTTAAACTTTATATTTTTCTTTTAATTCATTCATAAATTCTTTGTTTTACTTTTCCTAACTTTCATTCTATTATTATTGTACATATACTATTTAGGCATCCTTGCAGCAGCTATTGATATGCGACCAAAACGACTTATCCAAACCCGATATGGAAACCAAACTTATGTTCAGGATGTTGTGCTCATTGATAAAACCTTCAATACAATCATTTTGACTATGTGGGACAGCTATGTGGACA